CCTTCTCTGATCTCTCTCAGTAAGGTGTAGGGAAATGAAACACTATAAAGAAAATTGCAAATAACCTGCAAGAAATACAGAGGGCAGATAGGATCACACTGCTTCCAAAAGAATCACTCTTCTGAAAATAGCGTAAAGGGAAGTCTGGGGTATTCCTACACCACCAGGAAAACGCACACTTTGACCATACAAGCAATGGCAAAGCAAGTCAACCAGCCCAACCTCAGTTCTCAGAAACATGCACAAAATGCCAAAAACTCCTCTGCAGCCTCCCAAATTCAAGTTCGCATCCATACCGACAAACACCCAGTTCCCCGAGTGTATGGAGGGGGAGCAGACCACCTGCACACGTTGCCTCCTGCGCCCCAGCAGCCCCCGGGCTGGAGGAGCAGGAGACCAGCGGCGAGGGGGTGGCTGTCCCCACATCATCCGCATCTTGCCCCAGCGCTGGGCCCATCCAAGGATGGCAGCAACAGACCCCAGCCAGCTCAGCTAAGCTTTTAAGTGGAAAAAAGTCAACAACTTCTCACAGTGGCATCCTTAAGTCCCACGGTGGATGTCAATATTAGCATAATCTGGAATCTGTGCCCACTAATCAGAAGGCAAGTTTAACTTTCATTTCACATGCATGCTCATCAGTACGCAGCAATGAGTTGCACTGTTCATGACCCTGAGCCCAGCAGGACAGGATTTTCCAACCACACACTGGAAGCCGTTTCAGTTTACCTCAAGGCATGTTATACTACTGCCCTTTCTTTTACTAAAATCCTCCAGTTGCCACCGTATTTCACTGCATTAGCACATCTGCTAGCTACATAACCCGTGCTGCACATTGACTGTGCAGGGAGATGGGAACCCTGGGGTGATTTTCCTGAAGGAAAAGGGAATTCCTGAGCGAATTTGGATTTTTGCAACACAGGGAAAAACTGTTGCCTGCTGCCATCCCAACTACCAAGTCAACATCCCCATGTTTCCAAAGTATCTTCTGCTGTAAATATTTAGCACAGGAAAATACAAGCATGGTTTCTGTTACTGTTAACAGAAGTCACAAGTGTGACTCCCTACTCACCATGTGGATAATTTACCCCTCCAGCTCAGGAGTAAGACAAGGCTTCTCAAAACAGAGTTGTCCCAGGGTGGGAACACCACAGATGACAGCGAAATAACAAAGAAAACTAATTCCGAAACTTCAAAGCTGCTAAAGACACTTAGAAGGAAAATAGCAGTAAAAAAAAGTTTTTCTTTTGGACTTGAGCAGAGTTAACTTGCAATATTTCAGGCAGGAATACTGGACGAAAGAGAAGCCTTAGTTTTGATCAAGAAGGCTATACTTGTATACACTGAAAGCAAAACTACAATGGCTGATACAGTAGTAAAATATATATACCCTCTCTATATATACCTTTAGTTCTTTTTTTGCAAATATGAACTGTGAAGCTGGAGTTCTTAGACAAATTTATAAATTCAAGCTTCATCTTCAATATACTTTTTGCCCCACTTTACAGCGCTGAAGAAATACACACCAATTGTTTCAGAAAACCCAATGTACAGATCTCCAAACAGCTTGTGAGCCCAGTGCGTGCACCTCCTTATAATGCTGTGCATAGGTTAAAACTACTGCAGCCTCCATCGTACAGCATATGGGTATCAAACACAGAGAATTTCATTATTCCAAAGCTAATCTGATACGGATATCATCTATTCTGGCCCTAACTTCAGCACTTTATTAATTGACAATGCCAACCTGAATGACAAATGAACAAGTCAATCCACAATTTAAATATTAAACCAGAAATAGGTGATTTCAAGTTACTGATTTAAGTTAGCCAATTGTTAGCACTGCGTTTAGATTGCAAAATGGTTAGAAACAATCTTAGCACTCAGTAAATTAAAACTTTCACAATCATATTTAGCTGAAATTCCTCATATATATAGGTGAAGTTTTATTTTATGTATATATACACATACATTTAAAAAGCTTGAATAATAGTTCCTCCTCTCCAAACAGAAACCATTACACTGTGACGTGTCTTGACTTTTAAACTCTACCAGCTTCACAAGGAGAAGAATAACCTTAGGTTATTACAATTAGTTTAATCTCATTAATAGATCAATTTCTTTCAAGCATACCAAAAACTGAATTTTACTTTGTTGCTTCTCCTTTTAGTCTACATTATAGTCTGTGTTCTTAAGTTTTAAGGAGAGCCATCACGGAATAGGCTGTAATCTCAGGTGATTAATTGCACAGCATTTTACAAGCTGTAAAATAGAGCAAGATTTCCACAAACCGATTATGCCATTAAGCAGGCACTCTTATCAGATTTTTCTGCAACTAGCAGGTTTGTCTGATGATTGCAAGTCTTATGCATTTATATATTTCAAAGGTTTACTTATTTTTGTTGTTAAAAAAACCTAAAATCTATATTGATTGTTACATGCAATTCTACATGAAAAGTCCCAAGCACCGTGGAGCAGAATACCAATATTTATTACTAGACTTGCGCTCATTATGGTTCTCTCTGACAGGGGTCCATTAAAATCAATTTTTATGTTTCTTGTGTTTTTTTTTCTACCCAATGTTCTTACCATAGTGTTTATTAGCCAGTTAGGAGAAACACTGGGCACTGTTTTGTTTTTATTTTATTCTGTCGAAAATAATGAGGCCAGATTTAACAACTATTCACTAGCGATGAGTAGAAGAGATTAAATGTTATACTTCAGCACAAACATTTACAGATGGCTTTAAAATTTTTAGAACTTTATCATCAGTAAAGACAAAAGCAAGTCCCACCTTCCACCTCTTTTTCAGATTTAAATTCTTAAAGTAATTGTAAGAATATTCTGCTTACCATTAACTTCTGAAACACTCCTGAGTAATATTCCACCTATAATATAACAATTTTTGCATATAAATCATGCAATCTGCTAAGTTAAGTGTTATCAAGATGCCACTAAAGCCTCAACACCTCTGTGAGGCTGGGAAATTAAGTTAGCTCACCACTGAGAAAACTGAAAGACCAAGATCAGATAAAAATTAAGAATCTGGAAAAGGATCTAGACTGCCTGATGTCTGCCTGAAGAACAAGATCATGAGATCCTTCTTCCAACAGCCAACCTGGCCATGGTACACAAGTAAATGGCAGCCCCCATAAACAAGCTGTCCTTACAAACGGGACAGACCTTGCCTCGCAGCAAGGCTCCCTCAACGAGGGGGGTGACCCACAGTTTGTGAGTATTAGCATCTTTCATTTGTGCAGGCAGAGGTGAGGAACAAAGTACTCAGAGCTTTTGGGGACACATGAGTCATTTCCTGGAAAAGGGTCTGTGTGCCTGAAAGATCGATTTCTCTACCCTGCCTCCCCACCACCACTTGCTCTGAAAGTATTTACTGTCCCTAAAAATTTTGTTCAAAAAGAAAAGGCAAGCCATCAAATGAAACATTTGAAACCTCAACATTAAAGATAAGTCAAACACAGACCCTTGCTCTTACCTCTCCAGAACTGCTACACAAACACACCCAGTATAACACCACCTCCCCATTCACCTTTTTGGTCTCTACTAATTAAGAGCCTGTAATTATTTCCTTCCAATAATCTGCCATTTCACTATGAGCCTGTATTTTTTAGTACCACAACTTCACACCTGTTTTTATCTTCAGCTTTTATTTTCATGCAATTCATTTTATGTCTAGCATTATAAAGAACATGCAATTTCTCGTATTCATTAGCTTCGAGAGCCCACAGACCTTTTTCTTACTATTCTTCCACCCACTCACTGACATTTCCTCTTCTCAAGGGTGAAGAGTCCTCATCTGCTTAGTTGTTCTTCAGGCAGACACTGCTCTACAGCAAAGGCAAGCTTCAGCCTTATCCTAAATACTGCTTTATTGCATTCCTCATCAACAGAAATCCAGTACTGAAATCAGCATATGAAGAAACTGAAGTACTTATTTCCATATCACTGGAGTTGGCAAAACTGTCAAATCTAGAGGCTTGAGAGTTTTCGTATTAGAGGCAAAAACATATTTCAAACCAGAATACACATTATGCTTCACATTCCTGATTAATTTTACACACACTTAAATTACAAGGATAATAAAATAAGAAAACAGAAAAGGGGAAACCCCACAAATCCATGAAGAATTTCAGAAGTGAAAAGCAGGGGAACAAAAAACAACATGAAGAGAAGGAAGCCAAACCTGGTTGAGTCTTGTCAGGAAACGCTCTGCTGTCATGGACTGTGGCAAAGGCTGCAATTTTATTACCAAAAACCGTTGAAGAGACAGACCAACCTTAATAAGTAGCATTCATTTTGGCAGAGGAATTTGGCAAAGAAATTTGGCATGTAGTAGTTTTGAAAGAATTCAGTGCTTCTAAAAATGTCACTCAGCATTTCCTCACAAATAAGGGAAAAGCAAACCAATGATCTGAACAGGACAGATGCACTTTAGCAGATCGAACAGCACTTATATTCAACAGTAAAATATACTAATACCTCTTCAATCAGTTCTATATTTGGGACATCATCTCCACTGCCATGTATATCGTCTGTTCTGAACTCCAGAATACATTACAGATAGGCAAAACCAACCAAAGCTCTCAAGTAGTATGCAGTAATTAAAGCAATTATTCAATACTAGGGTTCTGCCTGTTGGAACACATATATCTAGATACAGGCCTGCAAAATTTGCAAAATATGCATGAAGGTCTTAATCCTCAGTGACAGATTTACATGTGTCCCCAGAATTAGGGGGCAGGATGTACTTTCAAAACCTGTGTTAAAAATACTTGTATTTTAGAACATTTCTTGGTTAATATTGATGCAGCAGAGTGAAACACATTTTGGAGCTGCCATTCCTTAAAGGTACTGGAGGCTGGTTTTGCCTCTCAAAGGATCAAGTACTGTGTTCCCAAGCACGCATAGTCGTGTCTTAGATCCTCTGCGCAATCTCTTTCCTTCACCACATACATAAACCTAGGATCAATAGGACATGAACTTACCCACTTGGCAGCACGCTCATTTTTGGAAGTTTTATTTCATGTAAGCCTGTTTCACACCCAGATATCTTGAGTTTTCCCACAGGACTAAGCAGAACCGCATGTTTCTCCTCGCACTGAGATTCTCCCTCTTTGGAAGACACCTGTTCATGAAAACAAACTCCTCTTTAATTGCATGCATTCTCACCAAGGACCATTCATCTCAAGATATTTTGAGTAGTTTTCAAAAGTAATTTTAAAAAAAGCAAGAAAACAGCATATTTCAAGTTTCCTCAACTATGACTTTTACTTTCAAAACTCCAATGTAAAATGATCCATCCTAAGTCAGCATCTAAATCAAAGTCTCAAAAACCAGTTAACTAGCAGAACAGTGACTTTTGTAAAAATCCCAAGTAATAGCAGTTTCATGGTTGGTTTATCAGCTAATATTCGATGTGTTGTGATTTCAAAAGGATTACTGTGACAACAACGTATATTCACTGGTTTAGAGCAGCAGTGTTATACAAATAACTCCTGGAACACAAATAGAATGTGTCTGCTGGAAAAATATATAAAAAAAAATCAATCATTCCTTAGTAAAAGAAACATTTTTTTATTCCCATTGTTACTAGTCTGGTTTTACAATTACTGATAGGATGTAGCTGGAAACAGATGCCAAGCATTTCTCAATATTGTACAAGACCAACAATAACATACTTGTCAAATTCATCTTGGCTAAAAAACCCAGTGTGACTCAGTAGATGTTTGGGCTGTATTTACAGTTTGGTTTGTACAATCATTAGGAGAGAAACAGGACAGAACACCACAAGTATGTCCACTGCAGTCACCCAGACACCAAACCATAGGTTCCAACCACATCACCATCGGTGCTGTACAACCAGGACAAAAAACCTTTGCTCCAAAGAGCTAAATTCAAGTGAAACTGGACAAAAAAAGTGAACAGAACAAAGAAACCCAAGAAATTGTAAGGCAGCACAAGCTAACTCAATCAACAAACCTCCTGGTTATACTGAGAGACCAACAAGGTTTCTTGGGTTTTTTTCAAGTACTCAGACCATATGGCTACCTTGCAGTTTGCTTTACACCTGAAAAATTTGCTTGTTACTGCAATATTCAGAACCAACAGTCTCCACAGACAACTGCACAAATTTATTTTCCCAGTATTTACCCAAGTTTACAGTCTACCCCAAAGCTCTCTGAAGTCCACCCCACCTATGACACCTGTGTCTGCCTACAGCAAGGGAGATGATGCTGAAAACCCAAAGAAGTATCAGATGAAATGCAGAAGTGATTAAGAAAGTGGGAAACTGATTGAAGAGCACAACAACAGACTAGGGGTGCATCAGGAGACAGGAAAAATCTATGCATGACGACTTAGAGCTGACCACTGCTTGCAGCTATACAAAATTTTTTATTTTTTCAAAGTAAAAGAATTTCTTTTTAAATCCCATTATTAAGTGCTACATAATGAAGTCACATCTGCAAGTAATATAATCAGTGTGAAGTGAGGATTAAAAAACCCCAAACAAGTAGACATTTTTGCCCACGAGGGCAAAAGTAAACCTAAACCTCTGAATTTTGGGAAGCACTTAAGCAATTCCTCAGTTACAGACACATAGCAACCAGCGCAAAGTTACCCAGCTTAGAGAAGTTCTGTGCAATGTGCTGGGCTTGAACTGCAGGTTTCTAGTGGTTTATTTAGCTTGACTACAATCCAAATCAGCTTTTTGCTAAATAATCAAATGTTTGCTGGTGTTACAAAGAAACTCTCCTTTTCAACAAACTTTTTCCTTGTTCCTTCTCCCTCTTCAAGGAGAGGACACGGGTGAACTTTTTTTGGAGCAGCACCTCACTGCAGACATCTTAGTAAAACATAAAAGTTTACATATGTGGAAAACCAGTATACATTCTTCATTTTTATTTGTGTGACAGCCCTAAACTAGATGCACTGAACCTCATACCATGTACTCCATGAATATAACAACTTAGTGATAAGAGGACAGCTTTTTCATTATAACAAAACACAGGATGCAGCGAGTAACAGAAAACTATAAATAACCCTATGAGTTCACACCAAGTTGAACTAAGCTTTATAGATGAAAACCTTGAGTGAGTACAACTAGTATTTTCAGTCTTGTTTGTCATAAGCATTGGGCAGCAATATTTAGAAGGTTTATTTTTATAAAAGAATGAAACTGCATGACATATATCCACATACATATGCGATTGGGTTGGGAGCCTCAGAGACGAAGGTCACCATACAGATGTACAATGCGTGCTACCCTCTGTCCAGACACTAATGTGCCTTTTCACTATTTACCTACAGCTACTGAGATGAGCCAGAGAAGATCAAGGTAACAATATGTTCCTGCAGGCAATGCTATTTTAAAATAAAGTGAAATTTTATTCAAGATTTAAGTTGCAACAGTTTTCAGATACAAGTAAACAGCCTTTAAACTTGGCCAGCTGAAATGACCAAATGCTTAGACATCACTTACTGCAGACTGGTGAACACTGAAAACCTGATCCTGCCCATATCCTTCCAACACAGGCACAATTTGCTCAACACCATCTTCCCCACAGTGCCCTTGTTGAAGCTGTGAACTAGAAATGAATGGCAGCTTAAAGCAAAAATCTAATAAATCCAAATAAACTGCCTTCCGCCTTTTTTCTCCAGCTTACGTAAATGAACCATTTGAGGAATTTTGATCAGGTACTGCACAAACTCCACCTTCACTCTCCCTTTCCACTGTAAAACCTACAAAACTGTGTCAAAATCTCTCATAATGTTGATATTCATTAGGTAGGAAAAAATAGGACTTGTACAGAGGAAACTTCTCCTGCCATCCTCTGTGAGTCTTGCTACAGAAATAAAAATGTAGGTACAGCATATGTAAGCCTACATCTCAATAGACTGCTAAATGCTCTATAGAAAATTGGAAGACTGTTGTTAGCCAATGGAATTAAGTCCTTTTTGGCATTAATAATAGATGAGACTCAAAAGGTTTTCACAGTGGAAGATTTATCAGTAAGAATATTAGCATGATTTATGAGTTAATGTCCTGTACAGAGGAGCCTCATTTTCCAGGCATGCTCCCATGACTTTGCAACAGCACATGCCTCGGTGGCACCACACTCCTCCGAAGGGCGAAGGTCCCCTCAATTACACATCAACTCCACTGAACACCACTAGGAAAGAGAGATGTGCCACTCAAATTGCTTTCCTAGGGTTCAGATGCTAAGGATGCACAACAGCAGCGAGTTTTATCTCCTAAACGAGGTGCCATGAACCCAAAAGCCAACATTAGCTTGATGACTTGCATATAAGGATCTTAACCTCTTATGCTTTCCAATGTAATTCAGTTTAACAGCCTTGCTGCAGCCAAGGTTTTCAGTACTGAAACATACCTCCCATTTGATTAAATACAGATTTTATTTAAATTTGCATTAATGGTCTTTCACATTACAGCAAATAATTCAAAATTACTTTCTATGTTCTACTGCTCCTACACCCCCCAAAAATTCCATTGTAGTTTGGTCTGAGATCCTAGAATCCAATTCATATCCATAATGGAGAATGCATAAATAAAAAATGCAGAGAAATCTTGAGGATCAACAAGGTTCAAGAAAATCCATAGCAAATTGTTTCCATGCTTCATGTTCTCCCAAGAGGTTTGTATTTTCCAGAAGACAAGTCAAGAGAGCAAACCTCACAGTATTTCCTGCGCTTCAGCACCATGCCCCAAATCACTGTTATGGAATTGAAGGGGAGAAAGAATGCAAAATATCTTCATGAACATCACTTCCAACTTTTCCTGTGTTCTCAAAGATTTCACAGCGCATCTGTACATGTTAAAACCCTAGAGACCGCAGATTTCCACTGGAAAAAATACAACAGTACTGCCTGTGGATGTGTTTGTACCCACCCCAAGTGTTCAGCCCTCAGGACATCAGAAATTGTCTTAACAGAAGTTCCACAGAAGGCTGTGGTCAAAGAGACCAAAGATGCCACCTTTCCATGCATTTTCCCTTCAGTATTATTGAGCACATGAATCCTTCCCATCAGGAAGGAGCCAGAGCCCTATCTCTGATGGATCTCCCTCTACAGGGTTTTCTATTTCCTTCACTCTGCTTCAGCAACAATATAAACCTACCATGCCATATCAAAATATTAATGATAATCCCCTCTGCCACCACCTGCATCTGATTTAACAGGGTATTTCCATTAGGCTATAGCATGTGGCTGAACATCAAATGGAAGTCCTCATTTTTTTTTTTACTTGACTATTTCTGAGAATCAAGGCAAAAATAACATTCAACTGCTGCTAAACCTAAAGTGTCTTTGCCCATACTGCAATTTTATTTTTTTAAACCAAGAGAGTCCAAGTGCATTAATCAGGGCGGTGTCACAGCTGCCTGCAAGAAATGGGTCTCTTGATCCTTTCAGATTAACAGAAAGTGTTAATTGCTGAGCTACCTGATAATGTAAATATAACCAACAGGATGAAATTGCAATACAATTCCTTCTCCTATTTCACTTGCCATTTCTCAAACCCAGAAATGGTTGTATTGCTACCATTTCCAGACAAGCCACCACTGCACATTTGAGAATTCTCTACTTAATTCTTCCACGCCATTAAAGTTACTGTTCTTTAAAAATAAAGAACCCACCCAGATGCCATACTAGATGTCATGGTTTAACCCCAGCCGGCAACGAAGCCCCACATAGCCACTCACTCACCTCCCTCACAGTAGGATGGGGAGAGAATCAAAAGGGCAAAAGTGAGAAAACTTGTAGGCTGAGATAGAGAGAGTTTACTAGGTAAAGCAAAAGGCGTGCACGCAAGCAAAGCAAACCAAGGAATTAATTCCCCACTTCCCACGGGCAGGCAGGAGTTCAGCCATCTCCAGGGCAGCAGGGCTCCAGCATGGATAACGGTGACTTGGGAAGACAATTGCCATCGCTCCAAACATCCCCCTTCCTTCTTCTTCCCCCAGCTTTACATACTGATCATGACGTCCTATGGTCTCGGATGTCCCTTGGGTCTGTTGGGGTCAGCTGTCCCGGCTGTGTCCCCCCCAACTCCTTGTGCCCCCCCAGCCTCCTCGCTGGTGGGGTGAGGAGCAGAACAGCCCTTGGCTC